ATCCCACCTTAAGTAATTTTAAAAGTGTATCTCTACATCATAACGATACATTTAAAGAAATTAATTTTTTTAGGTGCTAAGCCAAAAATTGAGTATGAATATGATTTAAAAGACAACACTTATATACCAATAAATCTAACCCTTTAATTAGCATTTTTTGAATTATTATATTTTAGTTGTAAGTCTTAAAAATTGAGAGATCAATGTCACATTATGATATTGACCAAAAAAAAAAAAGAATATAACTTTCATAAGACAAAATTATGATATCTTTTTACTAGTTTAGAATCATGCATAGTATAGCATATATGGCATACTTTCTGTTTGAATTAACAGCATTAAAAACATGATAGAATCCCACTGAATGCAAATTTTACAGCAACCCAATTAATCTTCTTAGTAAGAAAAGGGAAATCAGAACAAAAACTTCACCCTTTTCAAGGACGATAATAATATGGGCAGAAACTGGACTTGTCAAAATGGAGAGAAGCAAGAGTTTTGGGGTGGGCTTAAAATGGCCCGATCAATATTCTTATATATATGAGCTGAAAGGCCCAGAAAGGTAGCCCACTATCTCATTTTATATGTTCCTTTGCAGCTAGTATATTTCTTTTCTTTTTATTTTTTATTTTTTTGGAAGTATACTTGTTCCTCAAATAAATAAATAAATAAAAACCCATAATTGATTCTAAAATAACCATATAATCTACGGAAAATCAATTTTCATTAACTAAATTAAGTATTAAAGAACAAGAGTAAATTCAATACATGTCACATTTTTGGGGCATATTTAAATGGGTTATCTTACATGAGAGTTTTTAATTATTTTTCAAATTTCCTTTTCTCTTGTGCCCAATTTGAACCTTTCCTTTAGTTCTAAACTTTTTGGGACATTCATAAGGTATCCTATACAAATCATATCTCATTTATTTAGTGGGTGTTGTTTCAATTGACCATTTCTCAACCTTTCTTCATCCTCTATTACAAATCTGCTTAAAGGTAAAATTCACAAAGTTCACTCATTAAATTACAATTACAATTACAATCAATAATGATCTCCTGTGACCTCCCTGAGCTTCCTCCCATTTCCTCTACTCCGCTCCTATCTTTTGATGCTTGATTTTTTATGTTACATATGATGATAAATTATACAATAATAAGAGATAAACACTCCTATTGTCAAATTTTTTTCATCAATTTTAAAATTAAAATTTAAAATCTTTAGACATTAAAGTTTTGTAATGTAATACAAAAACTGAACAATTGATTTGATACATGTGGACTAGATTAAGTTGACTACTTTGACATGGTTCTTTAATTCTGTTATATTTGCCAGTAACATAATTTTTTTCTAATATTGTTTTGTTATCTCCATCCTTAGTTCAATGAAAGATTTAACTGAACATAGGCCACTTATTAGTTTCTTTAAAACTCTAAATCCTTTATTATTATGAATTTTCTATTATATGATCTGTGCTATACTAAATTATAAAATTAAAACTTTTGGATGTGAAAAGGAGAGTTTAATATCAAAGTATCTTTTATAATCCAAAAGTTATTATTTAACAGTCTGATATAATTTAAATTATAAAATAATTTTTTATATTATTTTTTTCTTATAAAAACATGATTTTCCGCGAAAGGAACATACACATGCGCCTTATAAGGAACAGATACCCTTTCCTATATGTAACAAGTATAATATTATTATTACATAATATAATATTAAATAAATATATATATAATATTAAACGTGATTTATTCAAATAAAATGAGTTAATAAAATAAGTTAAAACATTGAATGTCTAACTTTTTCTATATGAGTAGCAGTCCAACCCGACCCGACCCGACCTGATTCTACAGTACATCCAGATAAATTTTGATGGTAGGAATTAAATGGTAGGTCAATAATATGAATATCCTCTATTATTCCATATAAAGAAATATACATAAGATTTCTATGGTAATCAAATAAGAATTTCAATAATTAGAATCCTATTTGGTGATCTCAGCCATAAAAATAAAAATGATGAGATGAAGAATAATTCTCAATATCCAAAAACTAGTTCAACAATTATTTTGTTTTTTTCTTTCTCTTTTTTAAATCTAACTAGATTTATTTTTAAAATACCTCAGATTGGTAGAGGCCATTGATTTGATTCTGGAAGGGACACAGAAATTGGGGAAAGAAGCTCCTACGCAGATGTTGCTCTGATTTAACCCTCCATAACAACCAAGAATTCTGCTGGCTAACTCCAGAGGACATGGTCCGTTGCCTTCTCAATTCCATAACCCACTTCTGCCCCACCTCCATCAACCCAATCAATGCTCTCGACATTATTGACACTGATGTCTTCACCGCCCACTACTATGCTCCTGCATCCTCGGCGTTGCCTTTGCTTTCTCAATCCCTAGTGACACAAACCTCTGTTGCTGTTGTGGGTGTGGATGGGAAATTGATTGGTGAAATCTCACATTTGGTGCTCAATGCCTATGATGAATCTGTTTCTGCAGCCATCATGACGCTTTCAGATGGTGATTTGATGGTGAATATGGATTGTGGTGGACCACCAGAGGACCTGGTACAGCTGATCAAGGAGAGATTGCTAGAGAGGAATTTGGATCCTGCTTTGGAGTTGATGGAGGAAGACTCGGGGATTTCATTTCATTGGATGATGAAGTTTGCTTCGGGAAGACTACTAGATTGGGGAGGAGTTCAAGGGCAAATGTGTGCTACCCATGGAGCTCGTTGGCGGCAGTCATGATCCAGGCACTATCACGCCGAGCATATTATGTGTGGGTTGTTGAAGATGATGGCACATTAGCTGGGATTGTTACCTTTGCCAGGATGATGAAGATTTTCCAGAACATATGAAGCCTATTGGCTTCGGGTAGTAGAGAAAATTTCAGACTTCAGACAATAAAATTGAAAATTCAATAATAATAATAAAAAAAAAAAATTGCAGCTAAAAGCAGTATTATGTTACTTGATTATGTTATTTGATATTTATCAAATTTATTACAACAGCCTGTGACACAGACCCAAATAATCAACGCCAAAAATAATGGATAGTTTGAGTTGGAGATTCAAGACTACCATCCTAATCACTAAAAATACCTGTATTTGAGTTCAGATATACATGATGATAAGGCTTCTCTTACTTGAAGATTTTCCGAGTCCAAATGAAGTGCATCTTCCGTATAGCAACTTAGCCTGCTGCAGCAACTTTATCTTCTCCTTACTGTTACTTGGTCATAAGCGAGACCTTTGCTGCAATGTTACACCCCATCTGTCAAGAGCTGCAATTCCCACAGCACATGCATCCAAGTCATGTAGAATATCATATTCAGTCATGCGCATGTCAAATTCTACTAAGACAAAGCAAACAACAGTAGCACTTGCCAATACTAAGACCATGCAGATAAAAAATGCTTACGACCAAATGTAAAAACTCTGAATTATGCATCCATAAATAATTAATTAATTTTTTGTGGCAAACTGTAATTTTCCTTTTGTTTTTTTTTTTACCGTGTGGCAAACTGTAATTGATAGGAGGGAATTACCACAAATATCATGAGTTCGGTTTCTCAAGATGCAGACGTCACTTCATTGTTTTATTTTAGGGAAGACTTTCAAAACATGGTATTAATACGATCCTAGGGTGTTTCTCACTTTCTCTCACATTATTTAATGTCAAATAATGTATACGAAATTTTATATAATTTTAAGTTAATTGATATAGAATTATGGCACTTGGACTTCGGTCCAATGACGTTAAATCACATATAAATGTATTTTTTTCACTTTCAAAACAACGGTTCGAATCCGATTTCTTACGAATTTGTTAAAAAAAAATTTGATATAGAATTATGTATTTTAACTTTATATTATTTTATTAATGTTTAAAAAAATTAAACTCCTTAATTGGGGTTCTCTCCCAATTGGGAGTTTTTTGTCCCACAGTATGTATAGAATTCATCCCAATTCTGCATTAACTAGTTTTCGTGGTGTTGTGTATACTGTAGCATTTCCCCACTGTAATAATTAAAAAAAAAAAAATGGTATTAATACGTAGAGGTTAAACGTTGTCGTTTATGTTGTGTTCAGTCCGCTGAGCCGTTTCCAAGTTTGTTAATTATCGGAAATTCCAAGCTCTGTAGAGTCTTGCTGTCAACGGAAGCTCGGGTTCCGGCCGAATTTCATTTCTCAGATTCTGTTAGCAAAATTCCTTTCTTGCACTTGTAGAATCGTAGACGACGACAATGAGCGGGACGTCGCAAGGAACGCACTCGCTGGCGTTCAGGGTGATGAGGCTCTGCAAGCCGTCGTTCCACGTGGAGCCTCCGCTGCAACTGGATCCGACCGACCTCCTCGTCGGCGAAGACATCTTCGACGATCCACTCGCTGCCTCTCACCT